TTTTTTTTCTAATTCAATTATTTTTTTATAGTTTTTAAGAAAGTTACTTAAGAATTCAATTATTTATTTCAAAAAAAGTTTAAGTAAAACATTTTTGAAATCCACTTCTTTATTATATACAATTTCACAAAATTTGAATAATTTAAAAACTTTTTAATTAAATATTTATTCAAAAATCCGACTAATATAAAAAAAATTTGAATAAAAATGTTTCGAATAAATAATAATTCAATTTTTACATAGACTTTTATTAATATATTTAAAAGTCATTGAATTTTTTTGGAAAATTTTATTAAAATTTTGAAAATAATTGAATTCTTTCAACAACGCATAGAAAGGGTTTGCTGTGGCAGCGAACATTTTGCTGCCACAGCAAACCTTGTTCGTTAAAATAGGGACAGCGAAAAAGTTCGCTGTGAGATCAAACAAGTTCGCTATGACAGGAAACTCGCATACAGTTTTACTAATGTTTGCTGCCACAGCTAACATGTTCGCTGCCACTGCAAACTTCTTAGCTGTGGTAGCTAATTTTCAGAGATTTCACAGCAAACATCTGTTTACTGCTGTAGCTAATTTCTTTTTTTCCGTGAAGGAATCTTATTAAAACTTTTAAAAACAATTGATTTCTTTCATGGAATTACAGTATTTATGAAAATAATTTAATTTTTATTAATAATTTTTGAGAAAATAATTCAATTCATTGGATGAATTTTATTAAAATATTGGAAAATAATTGAATTCTATCAAGAAATTTTATTAAATTTATATTCAAAATAATTGACTTTCTACGATAAGTTTTATTATTTTGAAAATAATTGAATTTTCTTTAAGAAAGTTTTAATCAATCTTGAAAATAATTGAATTGTTACAAGAACTTTTTATCTTATATATTTTTTGTAATTGAATTCCTAGTTAAAAGTTTTATTAAAATTTTTAAAAGTAGTTGAAATCTTTTGAGAAATTTTGCTCGAAATAATTGAAATCTTATTTTATTGAAAATAATTGAATTTTCGAAACGAAATTTTATAAAAATATATTATTATTATTATTATTATTTTTTCAAAATAATTGAATCGATATTCTCATGAAGAATTTTATTTAAATTTGTGAAAATAATTGAATTTCCTTGAAACGAATTTTATAAAAATTTATTATTATTTTTTCACAATAATTGAGTTGAATTCTTATGAAGAATATTGAATTCAATTCAATTGAAGAATAATTGAATTCTTACGAAAGGGAGCGTTCACAAATGATGTCACGCAATTTTTGGATATTTTTACCCCCCCCCCCCCCCCTGTCACACAATTTTTGCAATTTCACATGAGAAAAATACATTGTGTGTCACGTTTAGTAAGACCCCCCCCCCTACCCCCAAAAGCGTGACATCATTTGTGAACGCTCCCAAAAATTTTATTAAAATTTTTGAAATAATTGTAATTCTTTGAGAAATTTTACTCAAAATAATATTCTGCATCAAATTAAATATTTACATCTAATAGAAATCACAGTGAATTTTTACTTTTTTCGACCACCAAGAGTAGGATTTTTTTAAGGGGATATCAAATTGAGACAAAAAATAATTGCGGAGCACCGTTTTGATACATTTTTTGTCTCAATTTTGATATTCTTAGAAAAACTGCTATTATTTTCATTCTCAATTGAAAATTCCGCCCAATTTTAAAATTCAAATTCCTCAAATACACTTGCGACGTGTGTGTGTGTGTGTGTGTGTGTGTGTGTGTGTGTAATTAGAAATATTTAAAATAACAATTTCCTCATCGTATAACAAATGTTCAACTGCCGCGCGTTATATATAATTACATGAGCATTAAATATCAATTTACAACGACTTCAAAAGTAGAAAAAGACAAATATAATATTAAGTAAGAGCATATCGTTATATAGAAAATTGCAAGATAATCTTTCTATTTTTGTAATACTTTTTTCCTTTCTCTCTCTCTTTCTCTCTGGCAAGAATAAAATTCGGAAGGATGAATTAACTAAATAAAGGGAATCTTTAGCTCAAGGCAGAGACTTCATCTTTACCATCTGGCTGATGCAATTCGAGTTAAGTCCAGAGATAATAATGGTTCGTGCGATCACAAGTCAAAGAGTGTGAGTCTTGGAGGTCTCAGCTCTCGTGCTAATGATTGCCGAGTGTTCGTAATTCAGAAAGAAGCGATTTTTTTCTTCATCAAAATCCACATTTGTGCCCAATGCACCGTACAAAATTAAGTTCTTTTCTTTCTTTTCTTTTTTCTTCTTTTTGTCACTTGTGACTTGATGATTTCAGTCATTAGCCGACGAGGTACTTTTTTGTGACTTTTGGACCTTTTCACTCCCTAATGATTCGGAATCGTGTGACGTATTTAAATTCCAAATGTGCAATTAATCACACATGATTAAAAATCGTTACTTTTCTTTCTCTTTTTTTCTTTCTTTTAAAGTTTGAGTGGTCCAATATTTTTTTGCGCTATTCTGGAAATACAATCAGTGTAAAAATCCACTTCCAACCGCACCTCCTGATTGGAAAAACAATGTTCTCACAGTGAGAATTTGAAAAATCTATTTCATTTCATTTTTACGTGATGGTTCTCCATTTCTTTGGGCGATAAAATTTCTCTGCGATTGTTGGGAGTCTTAACTTTCGTTCCATGTGAAATATTCTGTAAATTGTCAATGAGCTGTCCCTGTCCCGTTAGAAATAATAAACATAATAAATTTAAGTTGGCACTACAGTGTTTCGTTTCTAGGAAAAACTGTAGCATTTTCCCGAGTCGGGGTATAATTGGAATCTGAGAATCATTGTGTTGGGAGAGTATATAGAAAAAGTTTAATCGTTTGAAGAAAAATGGAACCAGATTGAAGAGATGGTATGCAGGTCGTTTGGCCGATCATTGATGAGGTCTTCTCCTTTTATTTTCTCAAGTGCTTCTTCCATCAATTATTTTTATACAGCGGGGGCAATTATTTACTGCGGATTCTATTATAAAGCATTATATTGCCATTCGAATTTTTAGATTCCTTTTCTATTGTTGTTTTCTTTCCCCTAATCTGAAGCGCCACAAATTTTACTTGTGAACTGGAGTTAATTGCTCGGAATGTTATAGGAGAGGATAATTCCTAAATCAGATTCCAACTCGTTGAAAGTGGAATTGTTATAGTGTCGAGATGATGCGCGCTTCTGCTTTGATGACAATGCTTTGTCTGAAAGGAATGGGAAACCACGTTCCTTCCGCCTTTGAAATTTTCCAAGGAATAAAAGATGGTGACATGGCGTTAAACGAGCCGATGCAACTACTGAGAAAGGCTTTAATGCCACCATTAAGTAAATTAAAACCAATTAGACTCCATGAAATAAAATTTCCGGGACAAAAGTCCAAGATGTATTTTTCTACACTTACCTTAAGCATTCTAATTTTAATATATATCACCGCACTTTACTTATTTTGATCCATCGCAAAGAAAAAATGCAATATCTATTTGTAAAATAAAAAAAATTAGCATTTTTCAAATATTACCTAATATTTTAATACAATTAAAATTACCTTAAGACCTTATTTTTTATGAGAATATAAAAACAATCTTCGCAATAAATTAAACTATCAAAAACATAATAAAGAAGAATATACGCCTGTTAAACTGCAACCGGAAATACATTCTTGCATTTCTATAAGAAGATAACATTTTTTAACGTATCAACAATTTAATTATAATATTTAATTTAATTACATTTAATGATTTAATTTGATTGTACAAGAATTTGATTTTTAATTAAAAAATTTAACCAAAATTAAAAGTAAGCAAAATAAATTAAATATACCTAATCATTAAAAAAATCATGGCACAAAAGTGTGCCATTTTATATCACTAGAAAAATTGTGAGTTTACAAAAGAAACAAATTTTTGTTGCACAACAAGTTTTGAAAGTTCTAATGAACGAACTTTTTTAAAAATATTTCCATAAATTACATGATCAACAAGTTTTAAACGTTCAAATGAACGAAATAATTTTTGTTGAAAATATTTTCATAAATTACTGATTGCATAAAAAATTAAAAACACATATTTTAAATTCAGAAACTTTATAAGTAGTTTTTTTTTGCAGTGACACAAAATTATTGCAAAAAAATTTAATTTGAAAAAGAATAATAAAGTAATTTTGTTCATTTAAACTCTCAAAACTTTAGGATCAGATAAATTAATAATTGTAATAGAAAATTACAGTTTCTAAATTTTACATTTGGTCAAAATTGCGAAAAACGAAACTTTTGTAACGTAACAGTCTTTTTAAAACGTTCATAACTTTTAATTGATAAATACAAAAAAATTTATATTCCTATGCAATATTGTTAAAAAAAATATATATTTGAAGATGCAAACATAAAAATTTATTAATTCCTTGTTATTTAAAAGTTATGGACAAAACAAAAAGACTATTACGTTACATGCTTCGTGATTTTGACCATTTATAAATCATTTTAAATAATAAAATTCATCGCAGAATTTCAATTATTTTCAATACAATTTTAATCGAATTTCTCGAAAAATGTAATTATTCTTAAAAATTTGTTGATAAAATTCTTTATGAGAATTCAATTTTAAGAAACATTCATTTATTCAATAAATTATATATATGTTTGAATTTAAATAATTTAATTCTCGTAGAATTTTATAGTGAAAAATCATTTAAAAATGAATTTTAGATAATAATTGAATGTTAAAAGCATTATAGGATGAATTTTTAGAAATAATTGAATTTTGAAAAGGTTTCAAATTAAAATCTTTAAAAATTTGAATTTTTCATACCTTCAACTAACAATTTTGTAGAATTAATTTTTTTAAATTTTAAATAATTTTAATCTGAAGAAGAAATAAATAAATTTTCCTCATTTGAACGTTCAGAACTTTAGGAATAGAATTTAATCATAAAAGGGATAAAAATCATTAACAGCAAATTTGAAATAATTTACTTTGCAAAATAATCGAAACCAAAATTTTAAACAGTACGACATTTATTTTAAATACACTTTTGTACGATACGAACTAAAAATACGACTACAATCTGTATCACAGCATTTATCAGGTAGACATTTCGAATGTCAGTCTTCGTAACTTAAAAAACTTAAGTTAATATATACAAAAAAAAGAAAAAAATTTAAGACAAATCATTCTATACCCAGTTAATATCAGAAGTAATCAATATCGCAGTTTAATTAATATAAACAAATGTTTTAACATAAAAAAAACATGTTAATTGGCATCTGCGATATTAGTGAAAAACCATATTTCTAATTGTTAGCTTGTATCATCTAACAGAAAATGGTAAGTTCGTACATTAATATACATATTTTGACAAACAAACAAATTTACACATTACTTTTCTCGTAGAAAATAAAAGAAAAAGAATTCTAAATCTATTACTAATCATCTTTTAACTTAAAAAGAGAAATTATCGGCTAAATTTCAAAATTATATATACTTCAAATCTTACAGTGAATTACAATTCACATATTGTAATGCACAATATAAAAATCAAGTATAAAAAAATTAAAGATGATTACAATATTTAAGATAAACTTAATTTAGAATTTTTTCTTTCTCTAGAAAATTACAATATTTTTCACTTGTTTATGTATTTAAGGCCGTATTCGATTGTAGAAAATTCTAAATAACAAAAATCGTGTTTTAAATATTAAATAAATGATAATTTCGTCAATATAATCTAAAATTAATAAATCAATATCACATTTTTTTTAAATAACTAATATGAAAAATCGCAATATAAGTCCATCGATATAATAATGTACATAATTTTTTATGTATAAATAAATTTAAAGTTAATTAAACTAAAATTTTTTTGAGAATCTTCTTTTAAATAATAATTTTTCTTTCTTCATCAAGAAAATCAAGAGATCGAATTACTCTTCTCCACTTTCTACGAGTCTGTCCAAATAATCGTAGGACTTTGATTGGTGGATGTAACTGTAACAAAAAAATTTCAATTAAACATTTGTAAAAAAAAATTTCTATTTAAATTGCAATAAAAAATCATTTTTCTACTCAACATTGCAAAAAGAATCATTTTTTTATTCAACATCCCAAAAGAATAAATTTTGCATTCAAAATTGCAAAGAAACTAATTTTTTTACAGAAAATAATTTTTAATTAAAATTTAATGCATTCTTTAAGAAATTTTAACGAACGAAAAGACAAACAAATTAAAAAATTTTTACAAAAACTGTAATAAATTTTTTATAATAAAATTGTTATAAAAAATCTAATTATTTTCAAAATACACCCATGAAAAAAACATATTTGATTCAGAGTTTACTAAACTTTTTATTTGTTTCAAATAAATTATGTTTGGTTCAAATAAAAATTTTATTTCTGTCGAATAAATTCCTATTCAAGCAAATAAACAATTTAAAAATTTAAACAAATAATTAATTTAATATGCTCTCTATTCTACGAACAAAATTTTTATTATTATTAGTTTATTAATTATTATTTAATATTTAATTACAAAAAATTTCTTTCTGTCCAATAACATTTTTATTTAAAAAAAAATAAGTAATTAAAAATGTATTTAAACAAATAAATAAGTTATTGGTCTCTGAGACAAATATAATCTTTCTAAAGTTCCGAACGTTCAAATAAACGAAATTTATTTATTTCTTCTTCAAATTAAATTTTTAATGCAATAATTTTGCGTCACTATCAAAAAAGGATTAATTATAAACTTTCTAAATGTAAAATTTAATTTTTTAATTTTACATTTAATTATTGGAACCAGTAATTTATAAAAATAATTTAATAAAAAATCTTTCGTTCAATTAAACGTTCGGAACTTGTGGATCATCAAAACTTTTATTTGACTCTAGTAAAATATATTTAAAATAAAATTTTTCTCTGGGTGTATATTATGAATAATAATAATAAAATAGGTATTATTGCGAGTTAATTAGAATTGAAAATTACCGCTTTCATTATTAGAGTGTTAATGTGCATAAAGCGTTTAAGTACTTAAAAAAAGGAGAAAATGAAAACAGGAGAAATTTGTTAATAATGCAAGCAAAGCAACTAACCGAAAGTTAATAAAAAGCAATTTTATCGCCTCAACAACCGTTTGTGGGTTGGATCTCTCCTTCCAACGTGGAGAATAATTTTTCCTGCTTTTACGGCCTTAAAAGTGTGAAGCGCTTTTCCGTGTGTCATTCCCTCCATTGGAATGCCATTAATTGCCCGAATTTCGTCTCCAATCTTCAGACTTCCTTCCTCCGCTGCCTGTCCTCCGGCCAGAATATCCTTCACGAAAATTCCCATATTCCCTTTATTGCTGTCCGATCCTCCAACAATGGAGAATCCAAGCTTCTTTGTCGTTCCTTTTTCCAAAGAAATCGTAATTAGGTCCATGGGTAAACTTGTTGCTCTTCTTGTACAAAGTGTCGCATTTGAATTTCGTTTCTTCACATTCTGAAACTTCTTCATTCCCGTCACTTTTTCTTCGACTTTCCCCGTATTTTCTTTACCGATTTTATCCATTGTTGTAATGGATACATTTATACCATCTTTCCTTAATGCCCCAATAATTTTACAGGACATTTTATCATCACTATCATCAGTGTCCATTTTTACGTTTTCATTCGTGCAATTTTTTAAAGAGTCTTCTTTCATCAAATCTTGAGACATGTCCTCATTGGGATCATTGCAAAAACTATCATCAAACGACATTTGCGAAGAGTTGAAAGTTATTGATAAATCCATATTATCATTCTCCGCCTCTTTCAACGACCAAACGTGAGGATCACTTTTCGTTCGAACAATTGGATTTTCTATCCAAGTTTCTCCAAATTCTCCTCCAAAGGCGAATGTCGGTACTCGTGCAATTTGCAACTCAACTGGTCCGAAACAGCTTCTTAAAGCATTTCTTGCTTCAGCCTCAGACATTCCACGAATTCTTCGTCCACAAACTCGTACAATTTCGTCTCCAATTCTAAAAAGATTAGAATTTGCGGCCTCTCCTTTTGGATCCAGCATTGAAATAATATAAAATGGACGTACAGCTTCTTTTTTCTCCAAAAAAATGCCCAGATTGCCAGGAATTTGAACGATTAATTTCATTGTTTTCAACTCTCGTCTAACAAGCTTCTTGGCAGAGGAAACTGCCGGTGATTTAGTTGGCTGTGAATTTGAGCAACCCTTTCGCTTTAGTTTTCTTTTGGGACTTTCGACGACCTCTGGTTCCATATCGGCGCGGGATCGTTTTGGATTGTAGTACTGTATTGGTGTGGTCTCGAGTTTTTGTAAATATTTCAACGAAGGAGGAGTGTCCCTGCACGGTGAGGCGGCATTATCCAAAAGACAAGAGGTGACAATATTTTTGACGGCTTTACTCTTCGGTGTTCTCAATTGCATCTCTGAATTACGCATTCTCGTTGATTTCAAAGATTTACTCCTCACTGGAGAGCCATCTCTCGTTGATTTATCATTACTCGCAATGAAAGTCATTGCAGTGGTTGACGATGAGTTTAAAGAATCTTCAGCGAGTAATGTTGCTTCATTAGCGTTGAGCGTTTCATCAGCATTTTTTAACGTTACATCAGCGCTTGAAATTTCAAGTTTCTTGGAGGAATCGGACAAATCAACACCTTGGTAATCTTCCGAAGTTATGGACAATTTTCTCGGACTTGATTGTTGAGTTGATTGTTCGCCATCTGGCGAGTCAGCTCCAGTTCTCGTACTGTCTGAATCGTAGCCACTCTCGTCATAACACAGCTTCAAGTTATTGAGCAAATCCTCCACTCCACCCGGCATTGACGATTTCGGTCGTTCAGATCTGAAAATTAAAGATATTTTTAGTATTTGCATATTTTAGTATTTCAGGGTTGCCACAAAAATTTAATTTTCTTTTTCCCTGATTTCCAGATAAAATTTCAACTTTTTCCCTGACTCTAAAGAATATTCTGATTCACTCTAAAAATTATTAGATGCTCAAAAAAATGTTCTATTACATTTATTTACGAATTTCTTTAAATGTAGAATTATTCGAAAACATCAATAACTTCTTTTTTAAATAAATATTTAATCATTATTATTTTTCCATAGGAATTAAAAATTTTTAAAAAATTTAATTCAATAACTTTTAAGAATATTATTATAAAACATGAACAAATCGAACACTCCGAGTCGAAGAATATTGTAACTATAAATTCAAATTTTCAAAGATTTTAATTTGAGCTCTTTTCAAAATTCAATTAATTCTAAAAATTTACGTTATAATGCTTTTAGTATTCAATTACTTATCATTTAAAATTTTAAGTCAAATTCATTTTTTAAAAACTTCTTCAATATGTTTTATTAAAGATTTTTTTAAAGAATTGAATTCCTGTGAAGATATTTATTTGTGAAAACAGTAATTGAATTCCGGAGAAAAATATTATTATTTATGAAAATAATTAATTTCTTGTGAAAAAATTTATTCAAGTTTGTTTAAATAATTGAATTTCTCAGAATTTTTAAAAACTTTTTTGAAAATAATTGAAATCTGATGAAGAATTTTAATTTATTAAATTTTTTTACAATAATTGAATTCTCGAGAAAAATTTTATTATTTATGAAAATAATTGATTTGTTGAGAAGAATTTTATTCACATTTTTTTAAATAATTAAATTCCCATTAAAAAATGTATTATTTGTGAAAGTAATAGAATTAAGAAGAATTATATTGAAAATAATTGAATAATATAAGAAAATTTCAATAAAATTGCAATTTCATTAACTAAATTTTGTAAAAAAATTTGTCAACATTTTTTTAAATAATAGAATTTTGAAAAGAATTTTATTTAAATTTTTCGAAATAATTGAATTTCTCACCACTATTTGTTTCAATTCTCTGAATAAGTATATTTGAATTCTTTCTAGAAACTTCATTAAAAAATTAAAAATAATTGAACTGGTTCGAAGAAATTTATTAAAAATTGGTAAGTAATTGAATTTCTGTGAAATTTTTTTTAAAATTTTGTTTAAATAATTTAATTTTATTACATTTTTTGAAAATAATTGGTTTTTGGGAGAAAAATGTTATTATTTAACTAAAGACTACATACTTGACATTATTGTTGTTAATATTCTCGTTTGCGTTGATGTCGATATTTCGTGAGTTGAATAGATTTCTCTTGACACTACCAGTTCTAGGTAAAAATTTCAAATCTATTGACGAAGCACTAATGGACCTTTGGGAAACAGTAAATCCTCTGGCGATTTCCACTTCCAATTTGTCCAATTCGGGGACTTTCTTTTGAAGATTCTGTATACTTCGACAGATTGCTTCTTTTCTTCTTCGAAGGGTATCGATATTTTTGCTGCTGTTCAAATTTTTCGTTGAGCATTTGAGAACTCCTTCGCTGTGCGCCTTATCTATCCGGAAGTTAGACAATTCTTCCTCCTCGATTGTCACACTCTTCGACTTCTGCTCAATCCTTTCTGTCCTCTCCGAACCACGAATGAAATTCCGCAATGATTCCACTCGGGAAATTCGCTTCGATTTCGGACGATCAGGCGACGGCGGCGACAAATTTAATTTCTGCAAAAACAGTTTCTATTTATTCTTTCAAATTTTGTTTTGAGAATATTCAATTTTACGAAATTTCAATTATTCATAAATTCGTCAATTAAATATATATTAAAAAATAAAATCTTCAAATAATTGTTTAAAAATTTCGCAATTAAACTTTCTCAAAAAAATTAATTCCACAGAATTGTTAGTTAAAAAAACGAAAAATTCAGATTTTCAAAGATTTTAATTTGAAACCTTTTAAAAATTCAATTATTTCTAAAAATTCAAGCTTTAATGCTTTTAATATTCAATTATAATCTAAAATTATAACTGAAATGCATTTTTAAATCTATTTTTTAAAGAAAATTCTACTAGAATTTAATTATTTAAATACAAAAACAGAAATTTATTAAATAATTACATGTTTCTTCAAATTGAATTCACATAAAGAATTTTATAAAGAAATTTTTAAATAATTGAATTCTTTTGACGAATTTTAATAAAATTTTGAAGAATAATAACATTTTTCGAGGAATTCGATTAAAATTGTATGAAAGATAATTGAAATTCTTCAATGAGTTTTATTATTTATGAAAATAATTGAATTCCTAAAAAGAATTTTATTATTTACGAAAATAACTGAATTCCTGTGAAATTTTTATTATTTTATGAAAATAATTATAGGTTTTCGTAGAATTTTATTAAATTTTTTAAAATAATTGAATTCTTTTGGAAAATTTTTGAAAATAATTTAAATTTTACCGAGAATTTTATTAATATTTTTGAAAATAATTGAATTTTGGAGAAGAATTTAATTATTTCTAAAGGTAATTGAAATTTTGACGAGAATTTAAAAAAATTTTTGAACATATTTGAATTTCTACGAAGAAAAAACATCTTTTTTAAAATAGTTAAGGAAAATTACCTTCTCATTGGGAATATCACCAAGACTTTTTCTATTTGGACTCCAACGTCGTCTCCTTCCCGATCCAGAAAGAATTTCGGAACTTTCCGATCTCTTTAATTGATCAAATCTTTGGCCCAATTTTCGACCCAATGTTGCAATTCCTAAAAGAAGAAATAATGAAATAAGAACATTTCTTTTTTGGTTACTAAATAAAAGGTTGGAATATTTTCTTCCGCCTAAAGATTAACAAACTCTCATTAAGTTTAATCAGTAATAAAAACTTATCTATATTTCTGATGAGATTGTTTGCTAACAACGGGAGTTTATTATATGAGAAAGCGTAGACTGATGCATGAAATGCTCAAGATCCACGATAATAGATTAGGAATCGAATTAAAGGTTGAATTTGTAACGAGAAAATAATTACCTTTACGAGCAGAAAAGGAGGACGAGGAACTTGGCAATGTTGGGTCTTCTTGTGACGATACTGGCGAACAAGCATCTTCAATGTCGCTTTTCGTCTGCCGAAGAGGAAAATCCGGAGATATCGACGTAGCCGATACCAACTCGGGACTCGGATCTTCAGATCGTCTCTTGAATAATCGCATTCTGTCTGAAATGTCAAATAAAACAAGAAAATCAGTAAAAGTATTGGAAAATTAATTTTTAACTATGTCTAAAGTTCGATAATTGAATTATATTTTTGGAGTTTATCTATTTTGGATTGTTCGTTATGGAACAAAAACTTTTTGCAAACTATTATGAGAATTTGTTCCCATCGGTTTGAAGGCAATAAAAAGTTGGAATAACTCAGGTTTATGAGTTATGCGATATCCCTTTAGTTGTAACTGCTGCAAAGGATTCGCGATCCCGACAAAGATGAGAATTTTGCGTTGGTAGCAAATGTACTTGGTTGAATAGCTATAGGGATAAGAATTCCTGGAGTTTAGCAAGTCTCTCTCGCCGTACAATTTCTGTCCACGCAAAGACATAGGAGTCTCTCTCCTACTTACGACGCTTACGACGCTTACGACCTACTATCACGAAACCACATTCGCTATATGGGTTTACGATGGAATTAATATATCTGGGCACTTGCAATGGTATAAATATCCTATCAGTATTTTGCATTAGTGTTGGTGCGTGTTCTTGGCCTCGGGATATATATTGGAGAGCTCAACGATCGCTTTGCCTCGAGGGCAAATCTCGTAAGACTTCCTTCTTGGACTATGCAAAAACTCCAAGCGCCAAACGGCCTTCGAAGCCAGTTTGCTTGACTCGACCTCTTTCATCGCTAGGCTATTGGCTATCGTGTAGCTTAATTAATCAGATGGTTGAGTTTTGTAATTTCACTCCTTCTTGCTTCCATTTTAAACTATCGCTTCTTGCGAGAGACTCGATTTTCCTATAGGAGTCTTCTAAGGTTAGCGACACGACACATTTTTTTCTCTCTCTCTCTCTCTCTCTCTCTCTCCACATGTGGACGAAGGCGTTGACCGTAAAATCGCCACTTTCTTTTATAATACTGCTGATAGTGAACTTGAATTATTAGGGGAAAGTTGATGATTGAACGGAAAATCCAGATGTTGGTGAAATGTTCTTAACTTTCTATAAATGATCAAAGCAAAAATATATTTCTGATACACAACGATTTCTTAGTCACAAAATAATTTCTCTAATTAGAGCTTATACTACACCATATCATGTGACGAAAAAATTAATACATACAAATTGTACTAGCAACAATTTCTCTTGATAGTAAAATTTGCATGTATTAACAAAAGGGTTAGTTTATTAAAAACGAAAATACTTTTTCATGACCCGTTACGTGAAAGGTTTTAAACTCGTTGAAGAGAACAGGGTGTGGAGACAAGGAAAAAAGTCCTGCAACAACCTACGTATAAGTGGATATCACTGGCACGAGTTAATATCATGAAGCACCGGCTATTTTTGTTTGTTTTTGTTTTTTTTCCTGGATATACGCAATTCGCGTGAAAATTGCACTTGTATCTCAAATCACACCAGATCCTTCCAACTGATTCGTGGCACGACAACACAAGAGGCTCAAGAAATAAAAAAAACTTACACCGACTCGCGACAACTATACAGACAAGTCCAATTTAGATTGCAGCAGGAGCGAGACTATCTTTTTTTCATCAGAAAATCATTTTATCTAATTTAAAGAACTAAATAAAGAAATTACTGTTGTTAATAATTTAAACCCGATTCTCATTAGCGCATTTAACAATAATCTTATCAAGAAAAGAAAGTGATTTTGATATAAAACACTTTCTTAACTCGAGTCCTAAAAAAAAATTTGTTTAAATCGCAAAATACTAATATTTTGAGACGATTTTCCAAAATAAAATTATCAGAAATTTTCTTTAGTAGAAAAGAAGAAATTATGAAAAAGTTGAGTAACAGCATTTTTTACTAACTATTTATGAGCTCATTAATAAACTGTTAGCCAGTCTCAAATTGTATGTAAAAATAACGACCCTCATTAAATATTTTATCATTGGAAAATCAGACTCCTTCTTCTTCTTCTTCTTCTTTCTTCAGCCCTTATGGAAGAAACATTTAATTAAATCTTGAAAAGACAAGTTCCACAATAGTCCCACAATTAAAAACTCCATTAGTTTATCCTTGTAATTAGAAGTTTGCTGAAGCAAAAGACAGTTAACTGACCGAAAACATCCGCTAATCAAATCAACGCATTACACGTGCGTAGAAAGCACCTTAATCGCGAAAAAACTGGAGCAAGTCGAATACCCCGGTTTCAAGAGACTCACTGTGAGTAGAGGTGCATCCAGGAAGTTGTAAACTGCAGATGCTAAAAATATTTATTTATGTTAACCCCTAGTCCAGTGTATACGCTTTATAAGAATTCCCAGCCAGATTCATTTCTTTTTCCTCTTTGCGACAGTCTTCTCCTAAAAACAGATGACTCATGTGATCCTGTGGGATTTCTTTGCTTCCGCCAGAAACCTATTTTCCCATCAATTTTTCTTTCTCAAGTTTCCAATCAAAACACTAATGCGTGGGAATTTCTAAACACTTCATTTTCTCCAAAAATTAACCAAAAGAATCAAACGACTTTTCAGATACGGAAATTGAATTTAGACTAATTTTTCACCGGGAAAGAAATTTATAGCAATTTTCTCCACATATTGCAAATAACTCGCACCACGGTAAGAATTGTTACTTTATTCATTCAAAGATAGCTCTTGTGTACGCACACGTAACGGTTTAAGATCATAGGTGATGGAAGATGCATTACAGTTAGTTACTCCTGATGCAAAAGATTTTTGAACCGCATTTAACTGGCGATAAGTTAGAAACCGTTCGCACGTGACTAACTTTAATACAAAAGGAATAATTAGAGATGATTTAAAATGATTAATGACCGTTTTTGGTACGATAGGATCAATCAAACATTTTGTTTACTTTATTCATATCTTTAGAAAAGGAACTTCTTTAGAAGGAACATTTTATCTCGACCGATAATTATTTCTGACTCAACTCCTATACCATATGTTATAATTAACTCAATTACCCGACGTTTTGTAATATAGTCAATTAATCCTTTTATTTATGCATTCATTTTGGAATAAACGGTATACACGTTGTGTGTCGGTATTTACCCCAATAAGAATAATAGATTTTCATAAATCCTATATGGCGATATTTATTTGCAATTATTTTAATAGCACGCGTGTCTAAACTATTCATCTATGAATTTAACACGGATTAATTTACAAATTGAAAACTTGATTCACCGTTCAAACCGGTTTAAACATCGGGTCATTGATTTTCAATTTTATAATAAACAATTTCTTTATTTTTAGAACAAATTCTCATTTTGATCCTGCTTCATTATTTCAATTCAATTCAAAATATCGAGAAAAATCGTTTTTCAATTAAAACCCAAGAAAATAACAATTTTGATATTTAGAAAAATTTCCATAATGTACAATTATTTATGTAAATAAAAGAGTACAAAATACAAAATCAAAGAATAACAAAACAAAATCAAAGCTTTAAGATTTCATGGTGGTCACAAGTTTCAGTTTATCAATTTCCCTGACAATTCCCACATAGCACCATAGTATGAGGTAAGGTTATGTTGAGTACTAATCGTAAGGCACATAAGGTTACACAATATTGCTGCGGTAGACCTGAGGTGAACTAAAAACTTCCGCCATGGAGGTAAGGTTACATGTTAGGGTGTGGTGAGTATATATGATAAGGCCATGGTAACCTTACACGTTAAGGTTAAGGTAACCTTACACGTTAAGGTTGATGTAACCTTACACGTTAAGGTTGAGGTAACGTTACATGTTAAGGTTGAGGTAAGGTTACATGTCAAGGTTGAGGTAAGGTAATTAATAAGTTGTAAGGTTAAGGTAAGGTTGTGATAAGCTTACCAGTTATGGAAAATATTGAAAAAATAATTAATAATATAATAAATAAATATTAAATTAGAAAGTTAAGTTTGTTGCTCTTCTCTATTTTGGAAACCTGACATAAAGCAGAAAATTTTGAAAACAAATTTGGGGGGACTGGGATTCGAACCCGGGATCGACGCGCATAAACCTATCATTCTAACTAACTGAGCTAAGTAGAGAACTGGCAGAAGGAAAATTAATGTTGCCTTTAAGGTGAACCAAGAAGATGATTAACTCCTTAAAGGCAATATTAATTTTCCTTCTACCAGTTCTCTACTTAGCTCAGTTAGTTAGAATGATAGGTTTATGCGCGTCGATCCCGGGTTCAAATCCCAGTCCCCCCAAATTTGTTTTTAAAATTTTCTGCTTCATGTCAGGTTTCCAAAATAGAGAAGAGCAACAAACTAACTTTTTAATTGAATATTTATTTATTAATTATTTTTTCAATATTTTCCATAACTGGTAAATTTATCACAACCTTACTTCAACCTTACAACTTAATAATTACCTTACCTCAACCTTGACATGTAACCTTACCTCAACCTTAACATGTAACGTTACCTCAACCTTAACGTGTAAGGTTACATCAACCTTAACGTGTAAGGTTACCTTAACCTTAACGTGTAAGGTTACCATGGCCTTATCATATATACTCACCACACCCTAACATGTAACCTTACCTCCATGGCGGAAGTTTTTAGTTCACCTCAGGTCTACCGCAGCAATATTGTGTAACCTTATGTGCCTTTCGATTAGTACTCAACATAACCTTACCTCATACTATTGTGCTATGTGGGTTTATTGACATTAAAATTACTTTCCCTGTCAAAATTCTTTTTACAGAAAAATGTGAATATTTACGAAAAATGAGTAAAATTTAGATTTAGAAATTTTAATAATTTCTAAAAATTACAATTATAACCCTTCCTGAATTCAATTATTTTCTACCATTTTCAAATAAACTTCACCTATTTTGAAGAATTTTAATTATAAACAGGACCATAATTTCTCAAAAATTTTAATCAGTCCAAAAAGTATTTACATTGTTCGAAGATAATTGAATATCTTAAAAAATTATTATAAAACAATTCTAATAATTAGTTTTTAAAAATATTTTAATGTAATTTTTCGAAAATAATTGAATTTCTTAAAAGAATTTTTGTAT